CCCGCTGGGGAGCGGAGCGGCTGCCCCCTTTCCGCTCCATGCGGGAGTTCCCCCCCAGCCGGGGCTGCCCGAGGAGCCGCTGTGAGCGGAGCCCGCGCTCCCTTTGCTACCTGCCGTCTCACACCTCCCTCTTACCGTTTGCAGCTGGAGGACGGGGCTGGCCCTGCTGCTGCACAGGAGAGAAGAAGAGAGGAGAGGAGACGAGAGGAGCTCTGCTGCGGCCGCTGTCCCCTCTGTCCCTTGCAGCTCCAGCCACCCAGGAGACCTCCCCACATCACCCGGTTGCTGCCCGCGCCGCCCCGCAGCCCGTCGTGCCATGCTGTCCTGCCGCATGCATCCACACAAGGTAACCGCTGGCTGCTGCTCCAGGCGCCCTGGAAAGCAGAGGGGGGACATGGGAGATCGTGAGGTTCTCCAGTTCTGTCTGCACTGGGCTTTTGAAACCCCCAAAGCCATTATCATTCATATGGCAGACACTAGTATATACTTATTTGGGAATCTTCTTCCCTTCCGCTTCCTAATACAGGGAAGCTCTACCCAAAGATGTTGGGAACCTACAGGAGTAATAAGCCAGCAAAGGAGAATGTGCTGGGACAGCATTTATGGTTGAAGGAGGGAGCGGAGGGTCTGTGTGGGGACACCGGGGAAGGATGTCCTGGGTCCCAGGAGCGAGGGGGAAGGAGAGGAGCAAGCAGTGCGATGGGTCTGGTCCCTGCTAGTGCTATTGCTCTACTCTGGGAGGAAAGCATGAGGCTAAAGCATCATCTATTGCATCTAGAGTGATGACTGAAATGAATAACTAATGCTGTGGCGCAGCTGCCACGTTGCTGCTTCTGTCCTCGCAAAAGAGCGAGCAAAAGCCAACAGCGCTTTGCGTTTTTGCCGCAGTGGATGCTCGCTCCTCTCTGCCTGCTCCTGGCTGAGCTCGGCGCCGGCTTCCCGCCCACCTACCAGTGGAAGGACGCGGTGACGGACGCCAAAGTGACCTGCCAGCAGTGCCCGCCGGGGACGTTCGTGGCGCAGCACTGCAGCAGCGCGCGGCCCACGGTGTGCGCGCCCTGCCCGGACCTGCACTACACGCAGTACTGGAACTACCTGGAGAGGTGCCGCTACTGCAATGTCATCTGCGAGGAAAAGCAGGTGGAAGTGCAGCAGTGCAACGCCACCCACAACCGCGTCTGCCAGTGCCGCGAGGGCTATTTCGCTGAAAACGAGTTCTGCATCCCACACTCCGAGTGTCCGCCCGGCTCCGGCGTGATCAGCGCGGGTACGTACCCCTGCTTGCGGGCAGCTTCTCATAGCGCAATGTCGCTGCTGGAGGTCAAAACCTAGGAGAAAAAGAGCAGCTGATGATTTTCCTCTGCTTATTCCCTCTGCTTGTGGGATTTTTTTCCCTGGAGAATTTTTTGTTCTCAATTTGTATTTTTGCCGCTTTCCCTTGCCAAGACTGTCCCCATACCACAGCTGTAGGAATTCCTGGTGGCTTCACCCAGCTTTCTGGGCAGACCTGGTCATTTGGGAAGATGATTCAGGACTCAGTGTCCTGACTAGCAGCAGGACACTCCGACATCTACTCTGGGCAGGTGGAGAAGCTTCGGGAGCTCCTCCTGGTTTGTCATCTCTCCTCCCTTGCAGGGAGGTAGCCAAGAATTTGAGGCGGGGAAATGACAGTTATCTGGACTGAAAAGAATTGCTTACAGTGTGAGGGCAGAGGTGGGGAATGTGTGTAGCCCTGAGGTTGGTTTATACGCTTCATATAGAGCAATTTAGATAGGTTATATTTAAAATACCGCATGCATGAATATGACAGGTTGCAAAAGAGTAAGATGGGCTCTGCAAAGCCCTGGGGCTCACGGGACCATGATGCTGTCCCGGTGCAGCACATCGCCGCACCGGGAAGGACCACAGGCCTTTTCCCCTTTTGGCAGTTGTTTCCATGACACAAACGCGCTCCTGCATCCCTTGGTGCTCTCTAAAAACACCGGGTTGCAGAGGAGCGAGTTTCCTTCTCACCCTGCCCTGAGTCACCGCGGTCTGGGCTCCCTTGGGAAACCACAGCCGAGCAAACCAAGCCGGCGCGGGTGGAAGCAGCGGGCTCCGCTCGCCGCGTTGCGGGCACCGAGCGCTGGCAGCAGCTCTGGGCGCAGAGGGCAGGTGAGAAACGTCTCCTGCTGCAGAGGACTCTGCTGGCCTTGGTTCCTTGGGGATCTAGGAAATGCCTGTTACCAAACCCAGTGATTCAGCAAGAGGTGAAGCAGATTTCCAAACCAAGCGGGAAAAATCCCACAAGATGGAAACACGGCGTTTGCCCTGTGGTAGCCCTGAGCAGTCACATGAGTGAGCCAGGCCACTTGGCAAGGAACAACTTTTATCTCATTTTATTTATTTACTGCTTGGCGCATGGCTGCTCGTGGGGACGTGGCTGAGCGCGGGCAGCAGCTCCAGAGGCTTCCAGCTTGGAGCACTTTCCTCTAGGGATGTTTTTTGTTTCCCCTTTCCAAATATTGGACATCTGTCGGGGACATCACCTGAACTGCATAGGGGCTCTGCTCTTGAAGTCAGATAGGTTGCAAGAAGGTAAAACCCTTGCTCTAGGTATAGGAAGAGGAGGTGACAGGGCTGTGGGACCTGGTGGTGACAAGGCCATTTCCTCCTCTTTGTAAGAGCATGAAGGGCCCCCGGGGCAGGACCGGACTGCGGTGCCGCTTTGGGCAGGCAGCTGCGCTGGCCCCGAGCCCTAGGAGGGAGCCGGCAGCATCGGAGCAGGCGCCGGCAGCATCGGAGCAGGCGCCAGAGCTTTTGCTTTCGCTTGGCCGGGAGCCTCCTGGCTGCGCTGGCCGCGGACCTGAGCCCCTCGGCAGCCACGTGCTCAGTGCCGGCCCGTGGGCCGGCCCCTGCGCTGGCCCTCGGCACCGGCGGGTGACGTCGGCTCCGCATCCCGAGGTTCGTCGGCGCATGCCAAGCGCGTTGGCATCGGCGCTTGGGAAGAGCCTGGAGAAGTGTCGCTGCTTGCCCTGCAGCTGAGCACGTGATTTTGGGGGTGGAGGGACAGATAGGGGAGGTGACAGTCTGCAGAATGTCACCCTCGTGCTCAGACACGCTCCGATGCTGTTTGCGCAGCCGGTGCTCAGCGCCGCCTCCGGGCCCGCT